TGGTGTGCAATGAATCTGAAATATATGAAAGTTTCATTTTTATCATTGCATTGTGGAAAATAATGACCTTTATCACAATATGCTAATTTTTTGAGAAGGACCTGTAGATCTGGTGAGCCGGACTTTCAACACAATTGACAAAATCTTTTCAACAAAACAACAAGGTCCTGGAGAACCCTCTTGTCTGGCTGAGACTCATGCTATGGGGTACATCAGAGATCTGGGAGCTGATGTGTCTCTCAGTCCTGTCTCATGAGGACACGGAAGACATTTATATATTTGGATTTATGATAGTAGGGTTCTGCTCTTTGGCATCGGCAGAGCTGTGTTATCAACTTCTGAAGAAGACATTGGCAGCAGTTTCGGCCATGACAAAGCTTCCGAGTCTGTGTTAAGGTTTGGTTCGTGCCGTGAGTACTCAAAATCAGCTGATTTACGAGCTAAACCATAAGACAGAGGCGATTTGTGAGAATCGCATGCCACCTGCGGCTACTAGGATTCGTCACCATGCTGGGATCGACCTTGAAGAGGGCTCATAACACAGATCAGTGGAGTGGTTCCCATAAATTTGACCATTTTGGACCGGAAAGTTCCAGCAGGACTCAAAGCTGACGAGGAAAAACTGTCTGCTTGAATAAAATCAACATTTGTGGCCTATCTGAATCTGACTCCCCCGTTTGGCCTCGGATACGAGCAGACTATCAAATTTCTCCTGGGACATGGGTAACATGCAAGTATTCTGATAAAGAATAAGGGGCCGCGCTATCATAGCAGCAGCAACGTGCACTCCACCCATCTTTTGGACGACTGTACGAACATAATCTCACTGTATACCAGTACAATGATAATAAAGATTATTCTGATTCCTGTTTCACTTTGGTTGTGCAGAGTTCAATAAAAATGCACCATTTATATGAGAGAACAGGTAAAATCATGTGTATTATGCCAAACTTTCTAAATGTTAAGAAATTTCCTTTTGCACATTTTACTTGTTTCCCTGCTCCAACACACCTGAGTGTTTAAATGTCCTCTTCATGTTCTGCAGGAGCCTGCTAATCATTCTGATTCAAACCAGGTGTGTTGGAGCAGAGAAGCCTGAAGGGTCGCACACCCCTGGTTTAAGGTCTTGCCTTGGCCTGGAGCTCCACCTCAGCGTCAGACTCATCCAGCCAGCGGTCGAAGTCGGGAGCCAGAAACAGAGGCTTCTTCTCCTGCAGGGTCAGCCGGTCCCACCAGCGCTCCTCCTGCTTCCTGAGCTTTATGTCCACCTGACGCTGAGTGGACTTATGATTGATCTAAACACACGGCAGGAGATGAAAACTGTATTTAATCCACATCCAGGATAAGAGCAGCAATACAACTTAACAAGTACAAAAATATATAATTAAAATAAGCACAAAGACTTTAAAATAGACAAAATTATGCAAATTGCTAAAAGCACTCTGGAAGGTACTTGGGAAAAAAACAAAAAGACTAAAATAAGCAGTAAATAAACTCAAAATATATCAATGGATCATGTTTTTTTTTTTGTATATTAAAACCTCCAACCTTTTTATTGACCTCCCTTCAGATCTGAAATCTACCACACAAATATGTAATATTGGATCATTCCCTCAAATAAATGACCAAGTATAATATTTTGTCTCATTTGTTTAACCGAGTTCTCTTTATTTTTGGGACTTGTGTGGAAATCTGATGATGTTTTAGGTCATTTTTGAGCAGACGTATAAAAAATTATAAAGAGTTGACAAACTTGCAAGCACCACTGTAAGCTGTAATTGACAATCAGTACTGGCGTTAACAGGTTCAAAAGTAAACCCCCAGGATGGAGTGGACGGAGGAACGTTTCAGGGGTGATTTGTTAGCAGCACACTCCACATGAACACATGACAAAACAGTAATATGACTAGTGGAACTGACAAGAAGACAGGAGACAGAACTGGAAGTGACAGATGTTGAGGTTCTCCTTAGGAGTGACAAGGATGGATAAGATTAGGAATGAGATCGTCACAGGTATATTATTATTATTATTATATTATTCGGCCCTCTTGCGTTAATACTTTGTAAATGAAATGAAAGAAATGTCTTTCTTCTTGCCACTCTTCCATAAAGGTCAGATTTGTGCAGTGTACGACTGATTGTTGTCCTATGGACAGACTCTCCCACCTCAGCTGTAGATCTCTGCAGTTCATCCAGAGTGATCATGGGCCTCTTGGCTGCATCTCTGATCAGTCTTCTCCTTGATCCAGATGAAAGTTTAGAGGGACGGCCGGGTCTTGGTAGATTTGCAGTGGTCTCATACTCCTTCCATTTCAATATGATTGCTTGCACAGTGCTCCTTGGGATGTTTAAAGCTTGGGAAATCTTTTTGTATCCAAATCAGGCTTTAAACTTCTCCACAACAGTATCTCAGACCTGCCTGGTGTGTTCCTTGGTCTTCATGATGCTCTCTGCACTTTGAACAGAACCCTGAGACTATCACAGAGCAGGTGCATTTATACGGAGACTTGATTACACACAGGTGGATTCTATTTATCATCATCAGTCATTTGGGACAACATTGGATCATTCATAGATCCTCACTGAACTTCTGGAGTGAGTTTGCTGCACTGAAAGTAAAGGGGCCGAATAATATTGCACACCCCACTTTTCAGTTTTTTATTTGTTAAAAAAGTTTGACACATCCAATAAATTTCATTCCACTTCACGATTGTGTCCCACTTGTTGTTGATTCTTCACAAAAAATTTAACATTTATATCTTTATGTTTGAAGCCTGAAATGTGGCAAAAGGTTGAAAAGTTCAAGGGGGCTAAATACTTTCGCAAGGCACTGTATATTTTTGTTGCTTTTTACACCTAAACACACTAAAATCATCACAGCTCAGTCACACAGAGCAAATCAATCAATCATCAATACCTCAGGTTTAACTGGTTCCAGGAACTCCAGCGTGAATTTGTACTGATGATCCCCTTTAGCTCCATGGCCCTGAGCTGTGGAGGAACATGTAGACCATGAACTCACCACAGACTGTAAAATTTAAACTTCAAACCACACACACACACGCACACACACACGCATGCACACACACACGCATGCACACACACGCATGCACACACACACATGCACAGATGTGAGCACAAACCTTTGAACTGCAGAGTGTTGTTTTCTTGCAGGCTGATGTTGACGTCCTGGAGAGAGAGAGACAAATGTCAGACAAGTGGAATTTAAATGACAAGTTTTGAAGTTGATTTGAATCTTTAGAGTAAATTTCAATAAGACGGTTTTTAAAAGCCAAGACTGAATCTCCATCATCTGCTCTTCAGACTTTAATCAAAAGATTCAAGAACCTGGAGAAATGTGAGCTCAGAGGATGAACGTATTTAACGATGATCTTCAGGTCTTGAGAGGCACCACATTAAAACCTGATGTGATCCTGATGTTCTGGACATCACTGCATGAACTTCTGCAGCTGGCTGGGCCGTCCACAGAGGCTGGGTAAAGCTCTATCAGGCAAAGAAGAAACCTTATGTGAACACCAGAACCACCGTCCTCTTTGGGACGAAGCTTTAACGTGGCTGAGGTAAAGTGAAAAACTTCTTCAGTGGTCAGATGAATCAAAATTATTGACCCGTCTCTGATGGTATAGGGGTGCATTACTGCCTCTGGCATGGGCAGCTTACACATCTGTAGAAAAATGTATACTGGTTTTAAAGTGTGGTCCCATTGAGAGACATCTTCAGGGAAGGCCCTTCATATTTCAGCAAGATGACACTAAAGCTCACTGCAGGGCTCCAGGGTAGAAGAGTCCAGGTGCTGAACTGGTCCAGACCCCTCCCTGCAGGAAACATTTTGTTCATCAAGAAACATCCAGCAAAGACGACGCTGGACTACAGACAACATCCTACTCCAAAGACCCCAGCAGCACCTTTCTTCACTTCCTCTTTATGACCAGGGGTGTCAAAAGTGTGGCCTGAGGGCCATTTGTGGCCCTTGAAGTGATGGAAATGGACCTTGGGGGGTCCTGTTGCCAGGGCGGGGCACCCTCCTTGGATAATATTAGGAGAAACACTGGTTTAGACCTACAAGTTTAAGAGGTTGCTCCAGATGTAGACCTTCTGCTGATGGTGAGACTTGTTAAAAATATATTTTTTAGGTTTAACAGCAAACCACATGAAAATAAATCTAAAAAAAGAGCCATATTCAGAAAACACAAACCTTGGGCTATAATTATTCCTATCATTTTTTAGTTTATTTATTTCATGGTACAACGCGCCACAAACATTTACTGACTTCTACTAAAAAGCAGATGTTTGTATGATCATTCATTAAACTTGGTTTCAATTCAATAATACTTTATTAATCCAAAAGGGAAATTAAATGTTGCAATCCTGGTTTCATGAAGAGATGTTGGAGACACTGGTGACTGTGGGCAGGAAGGATCTCTTGTAAAGCTCCGTCCCACAGTGAATCTGAAGGAACTGGCTGCAGATGCTGTCTGATCCATCCACCCAGACTCAGCTGGCCTCTCGGTTCCCACAGGCTGCAGGACCACCTGAATACCAAACAGAACTCCTCCCAGAGCGATGGCCACTCCTTCCAACAGCCTGTCGAGCTCCTCTTCACCACAGACAGTCAGCTGCTGGTGCCGGGGAACGATCCCGCTCCTTCTGCTGTCACGAGCCGCATTTCCTGCCAGTTCCAGGATCTCAGAGGTCAGGCACTCGAACACAGCTGGCAGGTAGACGGGAATGCATTCACGGAGCCTCTTTTTCCATCTCATTTGAGATTTGGGGCTGTAGCCAAGATATTATTTGAGCTTTTGAGATGTTAATCAGCTGCTCCCGATTGTAAACAAACAAAAACAAAACACTTGTTGCCATGGTTACGCATCATAACAAATGTCCAAAAGTAAAAAAAAGTTTCAGTAAAAATCCTTCCAGCTGCACAGCATCTGACATCAGAGGAAACAATCATCCAAAAAAAGTGATTTACATCCAGAAAGAGAGGAATTAAAGTTTCCAAAAGCAACATCTCAGAATGAAAGTAAGAGTTGCTCCAACATGCAGCCACCCTGAGCGGTGCAGTGCTAGAACTGGTTTAGGGCATGCACGATTTTAAATTTCATTCTAAATAAAATTCAAGATATTCTAAGTTTTGTGGCCCACGATCACGTTCATCTCGACAGTTTTGGCCCACATGTGAAAAAGTTTGGACACGCCTAATACAGACTTAAGATGGGACGCTTCAGTTGAAAACATGACCCGGTCCAAACTTTTAATGTGTTGATGTTAATGATTTCAAAACTGCATTAATCCCTCCACAAAAACAAACAAAATAAACATGTTATTTCAACATTTAGTGTTTATTGTGTTCCATGTGAATAAACTAAGTTCATTAGATGTGCAAATCATTTTCTGAGTTTACATTTTAAGCTCCTTGAACTCGTGTTGCAGTTTGAGTTTGGACTGAAGTAATAAATGTTTGGTGTGAAGTCAGCACGACTCAGCTTCACTGAGCGGAACCAGATCCAGAAGCACCATTAAAGGTTCATGCATCTTTTATCAGAAATGTGTCCGACAGACGCAGGACGAGGGGACGAAGCTGAGAACACTTGGATCTTAATGTTTCAACTTGCTGACAGGAAGTGACCTTGGGTGACCTGCAGGATGTCCACACAGATCTCTGGTTGGACAGAGCTGGAAGCTGTAAATGAGCTTGTTCCTCTGCTCACCGAATGCTTTCTGATGAACATTACACGACCTGAACCCATGGATGAACCCATGGATGAACCCATGGATGAACCCATGGATGAACCCATGGATGAACCCATGGATGAACCCATGGATGAACCACTGCAGGCAGAACTCAGCCTGCGAGTCCGCTTCATGCAAAAACACATCAGGGACAAACAAAAACAACAGTTTACTTTAAAAGATAGTTCTTACATTTGATTCATGTCTTACTCTGAATCATATTTTATAGTTTTATTTGCAGACTCCAGAAGTGAATAAAAAAGTCAAACATCTGGTTCAGCAGTTTTTTTATTTTGATGATTTAGCTTTTGTTTTACTTTGTAGCTTTAGATTAGTCATAATGTGTCATTTAAACACTTTTAGCACAGGATTAGCATAATTAGTTCCACTGATCCGACACAGTGGGACAAAACCATTTAACACTGGTAATTATGTTATAAAATGAAGCTTGAACGAGCACAGGACAAACGTGAATTAACTGTCGCGAGTTTAAATCCCTGAAGGTAAACATGATGCTAGCTCCTCCTAGCTAACGCTACAAACAGGCTCGTGCTCTGTGCGCAGGCTGGAGGACAGGTGGACGTGGACATGTCTCCTACCTTCGCGTCGCTCAGTTCCACCCGGAGGTAAATGTCTCGGTGCCGCTGAGCCCAGTAAACATGAGGAGTCAGAACCTGCGGGTTCGAGCCCAGCCCGGTCATGGTACCGACAGGACTCCACGGAAACTGACGGACCGAGCCGCTCCAGGCGCCGTCAACACATCAACAAGCATGCGCTGCGAGGAGGGAACTTCCGGGAACTGAGCCGGAGCCCAATTCAAAATAAGAGCAGCAGCTTCAAAATAAAAGCGTCAGCATCCGGTTGTAATGAATCTTTGTCCAGAGGTTTTTACTTCTTTCATCTTGTTGTCTTCAACTTACTCGACTGTTTCTCCATCTTGACATTGTTAAAACAAACAAAACAAAGTTTTAGTTGCCACATTGTGCTTTAATTCTGCTTTGAATTCAACAGGTTTATTTGGATTTATGGTCCAGTTTCAGTTTTCAGTCTGGTTTGCATCAGTTTGTTTTGTCATTTTATGTTCATCCAGTTACATTTTGAGCAAACAGTTTTATTTAAATTACAATGTTATAAGGCTTTTACGTTTTCTACACCAACTTTTATCCATCAGACTTTCATCTTAGAGAGAATTAAAAACAATGTTCAGCATTTTGTTGTACGTTTCATTCAACCTTTATTTAGAAAGGTTAATCCCATTGAGCCTCACAGACTCATTTACAAGAGAGACCTGATTTCATCAAAGAATGATGACAACAATGCACAACAGCGACAACAGTAGACAGTTATAAAAAAAAAAGGCATACAATTAAAAAATATATAAATAAGATGGCAAAAAAAAGTAACAAAAAACAGCTTGATTATAAGGCGAATGAAGAAAACTAAAAACAGGAACATGTCTGCATTGGTTTTTTCCAGGTGTCCATCAGATTCTTAAAACCTCAGAGAGGTCAAGGTCGAGAGCTTCAGGTCTTTTTGCAAGATATTCCAGGAAACAAGAGCGGAGGAGGAGATTTAACACTGTATACTGTACATTTGAAACTTAACGTAATCTTTCTGTACTTGTCATTTTTGACAAGTTTGAACATTAATGCATGTTTTGTTTTCCCTAAACCAAGTTTTAAATTTATATCATCTTCAAAACTTCAGGTCAGCAACAATTTCCTTGCAAAAATAGTTCTCCAAACACTTGAGCTCTAGTCTAGGACTGTGGTGGCTTGGTGATGATCGGTACGATGATCCTGAGGCTGCAGGTTCAAACCCACTTGTATCAAGGACACCTGGAATAAAACACTTGTCAAATATTTGAGTTTGCTCGTTGTGTCTGACATTTGGGAGCAGCCAAAGGAAAAACCAACAAACTTGAACCGTCTTCCTTTCTCACAGTCCTACAAGAACTGGAAAACCGAGGGAGGACGGAAAAACACAACTTTAAAATTACATTGTTTATCTGATCCTCATGTTTGTCTATCATTTACAGTGTAAACCTGTATTTACAGCTTTTTAAATAAAAAGTGTTAACGCCTTGTTGCCTCTAGGAAGCAGTAAAGAGTTGAAGATAAATGATCTGAGAATTTATTCGACCCCATCATCTTCATAATGAACCAGTTTGTACATAACACTTTAATTCTGTTTGTTGCTCATATTTTAAACAGGTCTATAGATTAACATTAATTAAAATACTTGCACATCATTTTAAAACAACATGTTAAAATTAATAAACACACAAAATGAACTGTCTCAATTAAAAAAGCTTTCAGTTCATTTTGATATTTAAAGGTTGCTCTAAAAGCTGGTGGACACCTGCAGCCTCTGCAGGGTGATACTGGGACAGAACTGAAAGTTCAATCAGGGTCAGGAGATGTTTTATAGAAACATGAAGCTAAAGACAGCTGTGGATGTTACGGTAATCTTCTGAACAACCGGTGGTTTCTATATATTCCAAGTACATCAGCAGCAGAAAGTACTTTTGTGCTCTAGAACTACTGTAGTAACTCCAGTGTACAAAGCAGGAGACAGGAAGTCAAACAATTACAAACCCATTTAATGACTTCCTTTTCCACAGATTAGAAATCATCTCCTCTGAACAGTTGAAGCTGCATCAAAAGGAAAATGTACTGATTTTAGTTTTAAATTCAGAACAAATCTTCACTGAAACAGGATGTTTTACACAAACTAGAAGCAGTTGGACAGAATTCAGGTGGTTTTGGACATGTGCTGTGACCTTTTGTAGCTGAGACAATATGAAAAATTCTCACGTCACAGTCTCGACACAGTGCACACGATGCAAACAAATGTGCCATGTGCATGGATATTCAGCAGAATGAAACAGACATTGAAGGTGCATTTCAAACCAATGATCTTTGTCCTGATGACATCAAGTCAATTGAACCATACCCCCCCCTCGTCAGATCACGTCAAGCTTTAAAATAGCTGAATCCAAATAAAATGTTAACTGATGAGATCCTCCAGAGCCACTGCCTGAGGACAGAACACTGTAAAGGCCGCCGTAGGCCTCGTTTTACGTTCCTGATTGCATCACATGTTTAACTGGCTGCTGTGGAAAGCTGTTCAACATGGGACTGCTGCAGCAGAATTAAAAGAACTACAACAGGACTTAAGTGGTTTAAGCTGCAGGTTCTTTAAAAACTTGTTTTTTCTCCGTTCTTTACAATTTTATTTTCAGTTCATTTAAGCTTACACAGTTTAATGACAAACTAAAACCCAGATGGCTGAGGTTAAAAAAAACATGCACACGCACACACAAGAGAACAAAACCTTTAGGGCGAGTATGAACTTGACCTGGTTACAGTGTGCTTGTGTGAAATCAGGCTCCACAGGCTCAAAATGCTTCACAGTTCCAATACTCAAGCCCAGTGTTAAACTCTAGTATTTGGTTCTTTACACCTGCTTTATAATGACTTATATGAAAACAATTATGAATTAAATGTTGGCATTTTACATCACAACAGCTAAATGTCCTTACGTGCAATAATGCTGGGTGTCAGAATGACTGGAGCAGGTATGAACTCTGTTTGGAGCAGAGGTCTGCCGCCCACGGGACTAGTCCTTCATATCCAGTCTGGAAGTTTTGACCAGCAAGTGGTGGGTGTCCCCTGCCTCTCACACAGTGACTGCTGATATGAGCACCAGTGACCCCCGCCATGCAAAAAATAATAAATAAACTGTGGATAAAGTTCATGGATTGAATAACCTATTCTGTTTCATAGATGTTTTGACCAAAATGTCCATGAAATTTAATTTTATTAGTTTATATCCACAACAGAAAATGATAGTTTTAGTTTTTTTCTGCAAATATTCAATTTGACTCAGTTTATTTATATAGAGCCAAGCTACAAAAGAAGTCATCTCAGGGCACTGAACCGAAATGTGAAGGATACAAAAAGAAGTACAACATTGAATTTAACTACTTCATTCATACAACTTTCAGCTTTACTGTGGGATCTCTCAAATCCAGCAGGAATCTGGAGTTTCATGACAAAATTTGCAATCAATCATAAAAACATGCAGTCAACCTGTCAGTGTGTCTTTCTCTCACACACAAAAAAGTATCACAATACTCTAGAGATTTTTGTGGATAACATGTGAAAATCTGCCTCAGAATGTCAGAACTGTCTAACCACCACACATACCAGGAGGTTAAGAAAATAAAAGTTTTATTAATTCATTTAATGCTCCTTCAACAAGGGGGTGAAGGATCCAACCTGAAAACTGAATTGACTCTCAGAAGCAGTTTATAATCCAGATTACACCACAGCAACTCACCCCAACTAGTTTAAGGTAACTTTTTTTTTTTTACAAATAATCCACAGTAAATTGCTGCAAACCCCGAGGCACCACAACCACCCTGCAGGTTAGAGGATCCATAAAACTGTCCACTCCTATAAAACCACTTCCACAGCTGATCCTCACCAAGAGAACAGATAGAGGCCTACATCCAACATGTACCTACATCCATTCATCCAACATTTACCTACATCCATTCAACATTTACATACAACCATTCATCCAACATTTACCTACATCCATTCATCCAACATGTACCTACATCCATTCATCCAACATGTACCTACATCCATTCA